GAAAATGGAGAGGACCATGAGGATACAGATTGCAAAGGCCCAGCAAAAGGGATTAAGTGGGCCCATACGTAGGTAGATCATTTGAAAATTTTAGAACACTGAGGAAGAGTAGAATATCTTAACAGCTTTAAGGAGAAAAATTAGTTTCATACAAAAGATTAAAATTCAAAACAGTATTAGACATCTCAATAGCAACACTGGAAACTAGAAAAAAGAGAACAATGTCACTGAAATTCAGAAGAAAAAATAATTTCTACAGGAGGCCAAACAATTAATTACAAGGTAAAGATTTATTTAAATATATTCAAGCCTTCTAAAAGCTAATCACTATTTGTTTCTCAGAAACCCCTGGAAAATGTGTTTTATCAAAATAAATTTTATCAAAACAAAACAAAGGGTAAAGACAGAAAGAAAAAAACATGTTCCATGAAACAAGGTTTCTACACCAAGACAAAGGGAATGGACTCTCCAGGATGATGACAAAGGAAGATCCCAAGAAAACACCTGTACAGCAGTCAAAAGAATTTTCCTTCGTAGAGCAGGTCAGGATGTCTTGGTGGAGGCTTCTTCAAGAAGATGAAACTGGTAGGTTATCTAATGAGTCTGACAAATTAACAGGAAATCATTTACATAATTGGGAAAGATTCTATGGCTGTATTAATGATATATACATAAATGAACAAAGAACAAAGAAGTCAGTTATCAACTCTAGGAGGAAGAAGCTGCAAAGGGTGAGAAAAATCAAAATACATGGGGCTCGATTGTGACAGCACTTAATGAGGACATTGATAATTAAACCATTAAAATATAACTGTTGGAAATCTAACCATACTAGAGTGGATGCTGAAGACATATAGTGGGTAGCAAGGGTTAAAATAGAACTAAATCATTTACCACAGTGGAAGGCAAACAAATAATACCCCTAAATGGAAAACCAAAAGAAACAATAAAAGAATGATTAGGATCTGCATGTAAATAACAATGGAGTCATTTAAAAGGGTTGAAAGTCTTTGTCTCTGGAGAGAGAGTGAGGAGAGAGTAGGTAGAGAGTGGGGGCTGTTTTTATTGTAACAAACCTTGTAAAAATTTCATGACTTTTTATATGTATGTGTGACTTTCATCTATCTATCTATCTGTCTATCCACACATATGAAACAACGTCTTTAAAATTCAGCAGTTTCTTCCATGTATGTGTGTGTGAGAAAGAGAGAGAGAGAGAGAGTAAATTCAAGAGAATTAGACATGGAGATAGGTTCTAATTTGGGTACTGAGATTTTAACACCTATAATGGGAAAGGTGCAACTTCGACACCTGTTAAACAGGAAACTAGAACTGAAGACCCTGAATAAGTCTAGGGCTCTGTAAAACCTTATCAGGAACCAAACTTTCCACCTAAGGCCCAGTGACAAGGAAGCTTGTCTGTGCACGGGGCTATGGAGACAGCAGAAGGCATTCTGGGAGAAGCTGAAACCTCAAACCTAAGCATCATGCAATTATGGATATTTTATCCAGGATATCCCATGTGAAGAAATTTTTGTTACCTGGCTCCTGATAAATGAAATCCTAGTGAAACTGAAGAATATGAAAATATCTTGCTTCCTGAAAACACATCAATTAGACATATAATATATTTTTAATCAACAAGAATGTCCAGAAATAAAAAATGTAAAAAAAAAGAAAAAAGACATTTAAGATGATCAAGAACTGCGGCTTTCTTATCACAGATGCTTGCCTAAATAACTGTTAAAATATATACTTAATTAAGAAAAAAAGAAGAATGAAGGGGTAGGATGCAAGAAGCTATGGTGAATGATCAGTAAATATATAGGCAATTATAAAGATGCATTGACTTAAAAATAACAGTTTTTTGTTACAACATTAAAAACAAGTGTAATACTATGCAAAAATAGCAGAGAAAACAGGAGAAGATGTGGCTGAATTTAATATGCTGTAAGATCCTTGCGTTGTTTGAAAGGAAGGTGGAGATGTTAATTAGCTTTGGTTTCATTAGTTGCTGTACGCAAGCTTAAATTTTGAACGTTACTAAAATAATAGACATGGAACTTTTTTTAAAAAAGGCAATGAAAAAATACAAAATCCAAGAGAAGAAAAAATAAAAACAAATTTATCAGTAGCTATGTGTCTATGAATATTTATATTAAATATATATTTATATAGCGTGTTATATATAACATATTTTATAGAAACATATTTATATAACAAATATATTTTATGTATTTATATAAAACATTTGTATAGAAATATATTCAAGTAAAATATCAGATTGTTATAGTATGTATTACATATAAACTTATGTATATGCAGTATACATATACACACCAGCACAGGAAATATACAGTCATTTCTAAGTAGTGATGGCTTCCGACGAGGAAGAGAAATGGAGTAGCGTAGAGTTTGGAAGAGACAAAGTGACTGTTTTAGGTTTCCTTCTTTTTCTTTTTATTCTTTCTTTTCTTTTGAGACAAGGTCTCACTGTGTCACCCAGGCTGGAGTGCAGTGTCGTAGTTCATAACTCAATACAACCCCGAAATCCTGGGCTCAAGAGATCCTCCCACCTCAGTCTCCCTATTAGCTAAGATTATAGGCACATGCCACTATGCCCAGCTAATTTTTTTTAAACTTATTTTTAGTAGAGATGAGGTCTCACTGTTGCCCAGGCTGGTCTTGAACCCCTGGGCTCAAACAATCCTCCTGCCTTGGCCTCCCAAAGTGCTGATACGATAGGTGGGACACTATGTCCGGCCTGTTTTAGATTTCTATGACACTTTATTTATTTAATAAGTAGGAGGTAAATACAGCAAAATGTTACTGTATCATTTTTTAAAAAAACCTCTGGGTCTGAAGTACCTGGGTTTGAAGAAACTTTCTGCTTATTTGAGGTATTTTTTCAAGTATCCAGTGAACTCTTGATTTTTTAGCTTGTCTTTTTCATTTTACCTCTTTGCAACTTAGGTATGTCTTTGTGCAACACTTCAAGTGTCTACTTTCCTCCACATTTTCTTCATTCTTATTTGTCCTTGCTTTCTACCTACTTTTTTCCCCCCTCTAACCAACACACAATTCTGACCACAACTACTCCTTACACTGCTATCATTTTCCATCCACCACTTCTCCAAATGACAGCTAGGAAAAAAGCAAACTCCACTGTAAAAGGCATTCTGTTAGGTTAGAAGCCATTGCACACAGTCATTGAATATTTATGTTCATGCATCCAAATTTTCTGGAATATGCAGTTGTTTAAAAAAGGGATTCTCTCTATTCTTTATCCTCCCAGGGAGCAGAGACTATACCTCATGTTTGTGTATTTAATTAAAAAGCCCGCTAAACAGCCTCTCTGAGAATAAGTTTCTTCAAGTGTAAAATAGGGATGATTTTTACCATGCAGAGTTGTTTCTTAATATTTAAATAATGTGTACAAGTCACCATGTATGTGATTGATACATTCAGAACTGGGAAAGATTAAATAGACGTATGGATTTGATTCTTAGTAAACAAGGAGGATATAGTAGGTCCTACTGTATTTGTTCTCTATAGCATCCATTGGTCAGAAAAAGCCCAGATAGTCTGAAAGAGCTATAATTTCAAAAAATCTTTACAAGTGGATTAAAAAATCCCAGAGAAATCACAGTGAAACTGAAGAATATCTAAGTCAAAGAGAATGTGCAAACATCCTCCTCTCTGAAAACACAGCATTCAGACATATAATAGACTTTTAAGCAACAAGAAAGTCCAGAAGAAAATTGTAAACCCAACAACAAAATGTATTGTGAGGAACAACTCTAACAATTCTACTAAATGATAAAAGACCATCTGCATGGAACGCTACCAGGTCAGAAGCTGCAGCAACTTAGCTTTTCTAAATTAATTCTCTGAGGTGCCTGGGAGTTGGGTACATAACACATCACAAAACTCATCTAATCCAAGATTAAGAACACATTTTTCTATGAAACACAGGTGAAGCAACTGAATGCTTTATTAAAAGATGATTAGATATTTAAACAAAATTGAAAAACTATGCATTTTACTTACTGCTTTACTTACTGTAGCTTTTAAAACACTGGTTCAGCAAGGGGTAGGATAACCATGAAGCTTCCTCCAAGAAACATAGGTCCTGAGTATCTGCATTATTAAGCTGACGTTTGGTACTGCTGAAGCATCTTACCAATAAGCAGCCAAAATAAAAGGAATTATCAAGGAATGACTTGTGATGGATTTAATGATTGTCTTTCAGGAATTAAGAGTTTTTATGATAAACAAATGGAGTCAAGAAATGTGAATAATTAAGTGGTCAAGAGTGCAAAAAGGATGAGTACACTAAAAATTAAACCCAATCATGTTTCAAAAGTTTAATACCATTTTTTATAAAATTGAACTTGCAGTATTGAATACATGAGTTTATATTTTTGAACCTAAATGACCTTTTACACTTAAATAATTATAGATTGCATGCCAGAAAATGGAATTAGGTTGATGCTAATTTAAATATGTACAATGTAATTCAAACATAAATTCTGAAGAATGTAAGAACTAATAGCATGTACGCCAGCTTTCCCATGACCCAGCCTTCCTCCAGTAGAAATACTGTACTATGAGCCATTTTGTCCAGACAAAAAGGCTCTTCTCATAATATTTTTAGCCATATATAGATAAATTTAAAATAGCATAAGAAGAATCTTTCAGAAATAATTGATGGTAAAATATCCTTATTTTTCATTTTGTATATATTTACAAAAGTGTATTTACCTATTTCTGAAAAGAAGAAACATTTAAAATGAAGATAAGCATTATCAAAATAATTGTTTCTTTTATTTACACCATTTTGATAAATAGAATGAAATATCTTACTATAACAGGACCTATATCATGAAAATGCTACAAAAAAGGTCTAGTTTCCACTTGTTATGTAGAGTTATTCAGTTCAATGATCACATTAGGTTTTCCTTTCCAATAGTCATGACATTGGTGGTTTGAAAACGATCTTGGCTTAAATTGACTTTTACTTTCTTTAATGTGAGCTCTTACAACTTCCAGAAATGGAAATAGCAGAGGTTAGGTTTTTATTCATTCAACAAAATGCATAACTTTTCATTACTGAAAGGCATGTCACGAACATATTGAACAAGTGTTACATGAAATAACTTTGGTAAGAACTACTTCAGGCTGAAATATATGAAGCTGAGATGATTTTGCTTAGAATGATGTATCAAAAAATCAGCAAAAGGAGAAGAAAAGCAATTCTTTATTTTTATCCAAATATATCAGACTTCATAATTTAGTTTCAACAAAAACTTCACCATATATCATCCAAACCAAGACATTGTAAGAGTGAAAGGGAGTGCTACCAATAATTACACAGGTACAACAGGTATAAACTGGAATCTTCCTGGGTAAACTGGGACCTACGATCAACCTAGAAATAAGGGTTAAACTGCAATTACATGCAGAAATCATACCTTTCCCACGCATGTGTGGAAAAGATAAAAAAAAAACACCATTCACTCAGATAAGGTAATTTCAACAACAGTAGCTCTTTCTCATCAGATAGATTTCTGTTCACATATTATCCCTGTCCTAAGCCAGTGACATTTTTCTAAAATAATCAATTTTTACCCCACACAGTTACTTTGCATTATGTTACCCTGTTTTTATTCTTTTTTTTTTTAGATGTTGAGATGGAGTCTTGCTCTGTCACCCAGGCTGGAGTACAGTGGCAGAATCTCGGCTCACTGCAACCTCTGCCTCCCAGGTTCAAGCGATTCTCTTGCCTCAGCTTCCCCAGTAACTGGGATTACAGGTGCCTGCCACCATGCCCAGTTAATTTTTGCATTTTTAGTACAGACGGGATTTCACCATGTTGTCCAGGCTGGTCTTGAACTCCTGACCTCAGGTGATGCCCCAACCTCGGCCTCCCAAAGTACTGGGATTACAGGCGTGAACCACTGCGTCAGGCCTGTTTTCTTCTCTTAACTGATACTTTGTCTGAAGTGGTCTTATTTGTTGTTTGTCTCCTCCCCACTCTCCTTCTGGTATACAGTGTTCATGGTGAGCAACAGCCTCCTCTGACTTAGCTATGTCCAAATCCCCAGGAACTAAAAATGCCTACGACATAGAAGGCATGCAAAAATTTTGTTGAAAGTGTGAATACACTTGGAGAGTTTGTTTTTGGCTCTGTCTTCTCGTTGGTACCAAAGACAAATTAAAATGACTCTCCAAAGTAAATTATGGCTCTATTTAGTTTTAAGTTCTTGGACTAAATGATCTATGCACTTTTTTCCCACTGCTGATCAATATACCATGCCCTGTGTACCCCTTTCTCTCTCTCTCACTATTTTGTTTCCTACATCCACAAAATAAGAAAGCTTGGTTATCAATGGGTATAGGGCAGTTCGCTCCATTCACAGTGGATGCACACTCAAGATAGATCATTTTGCCAGTAAGAATTCCCTGGTATATGTTTGCACCTACAGAATTTGGTTGATACAGAGGTAGCCAGAAGGTATTATTATAGTCAGTGATTTAAGTGATGTATTAATTTGCCAATAATAAAATTATCACAAAATTGTTAAAAAATAGGAAATAATGAGAGCCCAAACTAGCAATTAATGACTTACATATTAATGAGAACTTTTTAAAATTTGGGGCAGACTTAAATTATAAATACTTAAGTTTTATAGGAAAACCCATGATATTCTGTTAAGGAGCACTTTTACATTTTCATAAAAGTCTCTGCATTCCAAATTTTTATTTTGAAAATGTTCTATTGATCACTAGTTTTGATTCCTGCTTATAAGTCATAAATATCAGACTTCAGGATTAGAAAAAACAGTACTGTTAAAATTATTTGGGTAGACCAGGGATCCAAGACACCAATAAAATCAGTGTTCACCAAAAAACTGTGTGTAAGATATCTTCAATTTATCTAATTTTAATTTCTCTCTGGTCTGTGCAAAAACTTCCTCCTGAACTATAAGTGACAAGCATGGGATAGGTTCCCCAGGTGAGGAAAAAGTCTATCCTGTTACAACAAATGCCATAAACAAGAAAACAGAGTTAAAAAGAGACTCAAATAGACATACATATTTTAAGCATAAATATTTATCATCTGTTTCATTGCATTGTCATGTCTTCTTAAAATGATTGGTCTTTAAAATGGACAAAATTTCCAGAAAAGGAATGAAAATGTTTCCAATTTACTCAGTTTGAAAACAGGGACCATTAATTGTATAACTTCACACAGATTCTGATATATTCAATATAACCTGGCTACTGTCTAATAACATGATTCAGTGTTTGTTCAGAGCTCATCTTTGTATTAGATCATATACAAAATAGATTTCCAGATTTTAATTAGTCTAGGAAAGGAATGATTCTCAAATTAATCAATAATTATTTCTCCCCAGTACTAGCAACTTTTAAAAATCATAAGAAATGTTCGGTGCTATACTGAGTACTGGTATGCTCTAAAGTTTACAATTTAAACATGTAATGGTTATATTTTTGCAGGGCCATAGATAGCACAAACTTGTGTGATTCTCTCATATAAAATACAATTGAAAGCCTCCCAGGACCTTAAACAGCAGAAAACATTAAATCAGATTTTAAAATGACAAAAATTTAAGGCTAAAATATTTGGTATTAATAATTAATGCCAGTAGCCTTCCTACTCTAATAAAGTAAACATGCACAAGAACTACAACTTTGAACAAAACATCACAATTTTATCAGATATATATGTATGTATGTATGTATGTGTATGTATGTATATATATATATGTATATGTGTGTATACATACACACACACACAGACATATATTTAGTTTTATCGCCCTGAAAACTATTCACTCATGTTTGGCTTAATATATATGTTAGAAATGTCGGGGAGAGTATTTCCCCTTTAAATATATATATATATATTTTTTTCCAGAATATACAATATAAATATGCCATATATAAATCATGCCATAAAACTAAATGCAAAATTTGCACATTATTGCATGCTTGATGTGATAATACATGCCCGTTAATAACTTCCTTATGATGTCCTCCCTCCGTAACTGTTGCTTTCTGCACATTAGCAATACTTGGGAAAGGAAGGGTTCTCAAATATGCTTGTAGAACTGGGAGGAAAATATACTTTCAGATTCCTTAGGGAGAATTACCTCATCGCCAAATATTGGACTATTACTAAATCAAACATTAAATAATGCCTAAGGGAGTGCTTTGTTATGTGAAGCGATCAGAGTTCATTTTTCTTAATTTGGCTGGAAGGTTCCCTTCCATCCTAGCTGCTCCTCCAGCCATCTTTTGAAGCTTTGGTGGCAAATCAGCCACAGACTGGCTCATGGGATCAGATAACATCTTGGTGGTTTTAGATACCAGTTTTTCTTCTGAGTTGCCCGGAACTGAACTTATTCGTTGAAGTTTCATGGGCAAGTCTCCCAAGCTGTAGGCTTTTTCTGAAGTTGTAGAACTCATCCTCAAGAGTTTTTTGGGAAAGTCTTCTCTTCCAGTAATTTTCTGTAGCTTAGATGGTAGTTTTGTAGTAATATCATCTAGTCCATCTAAGCATTCCACAGAATTATGTCTTTCTTTGCTGTTAGTTATGGCTGGTGCTATTAAAGGGGATGACATGAGAAGCATTTCCTCCTGCTCTTTCACACTGTAAGGTGGGGTGGGGACTTCAAATGTTGCATGGAACTGGGAGTAATCAACTTTAAAGAATCCCTCTTCTAAGGAAATTACAGGAAAAAAACGGTGACCCCAAAGAACTTCATCTTCAGTATATGATGTTCGAGCTTGACAAGTCATCCCTACAAGAAAAGAGAAAATTCTTGATAAATTATACATAGTGGAAGCACATGTAAAGCTGGTTTGGCCTAAATAATTCATTTCACTTTCTTATCTAGGTTTTGGACTGTTTATCTGAAGCCTGAATAATAGAATAGATTAAAAGTTGTATTCTACGTTAATAGCTTTGATACACAGAAGGACGATGCGTCATTACATAAATATTAACCACAAACCAAAAGCAGAAGTAGCATAGAATAATTTCAGAACATACGTGTCCCTATAAGGAGATAAGTGGAAAAATTATGTAACAATTTTTCATCATTTAAGAAACAGTGTCATAAATAAAGCAAATCTAACATTGAATCTAAACTTTAATACTGTGTAAACTTAGAAAATATATTTAACTGAGTATCACTTTATTCTTCTGCAGAGTAAAGCACTGTCAACAACACCTGTCTCACAATGTTGATGTGACCATGAAATAACACATACAGAAATGTAAAATTTGTCATATAATATCTACAATAGGTGACTCCATTAATGAGAGCTTACCTTTTTCTCTTTACCTAGCAAAGGCTTGCTATGGGGTGGGGGGGAGGGGCGGGGGGCAGGAGGACAAAAGGTAACTCTCCCAAGTATTTGCTAAACCAATAAAAGGTAGTAATATTTACATGCTAGAAAAAGAAAAGCCATTATGGTGGTTCCATTCTTTTGCATCTGTAAGGCCAGAATAAACTTTTGCTCAAGTTTCAGAAATCCATATGCTAAAATCAGTGATCTGGGCCATGTGATGTATCAAGTTGCACTCTTGCTCTAGGAATACTGGACCCGGATGCTGGCTATCAGATGTAAATTTTTTCAGTTTATCAATTATGTTCCTTGAATATCATTTGCCTCATGGTATTCTAATTTACTCAATTTTGTTCTCTTCATAAATCATTTATTTCGATTGTGTTACAATCAAATCAGTCAACTTGTGAATATTCATTTTGTGAAGACTGGAAGTACAGGAATATATTAAAAACATGTATCAAATTTCTGTCTCATGTTAGTCAAAAGACATGATTTTCTGTAAGTAGTAAAATTCACCAATTTCTCTACTTTAATAGAAGTCTATCAGACTTCTATTAAATGCTATTAAAATGTAAGATAATGATGAATTTTAAAAATCATCCCTTCAATAATTAAGTGTAATTTAAATAAATGATGATAGTTTTTCTTCATTCATTTCAATTCTCCCCCATCCATTATAAGTAATTTCTATTGTTTTTGAGCCTGGCATAGTTTGGAGGAAGGGATGTCTGTCTTTTTTCTAACTGACTAGCAATCACACATACAATACATATAGATAATTAGGATATAATGCGTAATTAAGAAGCCACATTTGAATCCTTCCAAAATCTTGCCTTATGAAAATTGTTGGATATTACCAAAGAATTAGTTACCACTATATACTATTTTTTTATGACAGTTTTAAAATAAACTCATGTAGAAAATTAGTATCTATCATGTGACTAGCACTGTGTTAGGTGCTCTCTCTCTTCTTCCCTCTTTTTTTTTTTTTTTCCATTCTAATCCTTAGTATGGTCCTGTTAAGAAGATATTCTTGTATGTATTTTAAAAACAAGGAATTTAGTGCTCAGAGAGGTTAAGTCTCTTGACCTTTCTTGAGCACAGATCTAATAAGCTATAGAGAAAAAATGTATCATCCTATTTATGTGTGTGTGTGTGTGTGTGTGTGTGTTTAATTGTCATTGTTATTTTACTTTGCTGCAATGTCTCTAATATTTTAGTTAGGAATGCAGTTATCACTTAAACTCTGTAATGGTGCAAATCTGACCATGATCAAATATCCGTGTTTATAATCAATTTTATGTGAGGAATAGCCCCAGAAACATTTATATATAAGACAATAAAATGAGTTTTAAAATATTAAGTGTAAACACACACATAGCAGCATTCCGTATTTTCTAATAACTTTCTGGCCTCTAAGTATTTCATAAGAAAAATCATAGATTATCACTTAATCAGGAAAAATAAACGTATTTCCTGATATATCTACTTGGTTTTATTTTGAGAAATTTAAAGATAAAGAAAAGTATCTAGAATAAAGAATAAATATCTGATGTTATTGTTAAGAAATAATAAAACAAATAATGTGGAAGTGCCTTATATTTTCTCCCTAAAAGCAACCACTGTCATTTTAAGTCTTTCCCATCCACGACATTAATTTAAATTTGAGAAAAAAGACTATATTTTTACTAAGTGATAATCCTGCCGTACAATCTTTTTTATTTTTATGTTTTCAAGATGAGGTCTCTGTCGCCCAGGCTGCAGTGCAATGGCACGATCTCAGTTCATTGCAGCCTCGACCTCCCTGGGATCAGGTGATCCTCCCACCTCGGCCTCCCAAGTAGCTGTATTTTTTTGTAGAGACAGGGTTTTGCCATGTTACTCAGGCTCATTTTGAACCCAGCCATTTTTTTAATTTTAAAAACTTCTTTCATTGAAAATTGATGTCAGGCAGAATTATCCTAAGTGAGGTCACATACTTAATATCATTCAGTGTCTTAAAATGTAAGGAAAGTTTGTAAGTTTGTCCTTTGATTAATATAAATACATATTAACATCAAGTTAAAGTAAATTCAGGTTATGAAGTCTGTTCAATTATTTCTAACAATCACAAAGTAAATTTTGAAATAAATTTGATGATATCGCCATCTTAGCCCATTTCATTTTGGTGGTCTTTTTTTTTTTTTACATTGGGAAAATAATATTAAATAAGAAATCAAAATTTTGCCCCTGCTTTTACCATGACAATTGGGAAAATAAAGTCTTATAAAATGTTAACACTGGGAAAACAGGCCATCAATTATTAAGTTACTTAAAGTGCTACGACATCTACAGTGGAAACGTGTGTTCAAATGTTTGTTGGCATTAAAATACTTGTAATCATTGTTACTGAAATGCCAATGCATGATTTCGACTGAAAAGGAAGGTGGAGAATCTATTTTACTATATAAAATTAACTTTACTTATTTTCCCAGCAAACTCACATACATGAGGCAACATCTGAAACATAATTAAAAAGTTTATGAATTTGGCTGTCAATGTCACTATTAAATAGCTTGTGAAAATTACCTAAAGCTCTCTCGCCCTGTTTTCTCGTTTATAAATTAGGCATAACAACATATCTTCTCTTAGAAACCTACTGAGAGTTTGAAAGTAAAAGACATAGAACCTTGCTTGCTGTGTAGGCAATGCCCATTAATGACTAGTGTTTTTATTGTTCTATACTAGTCACTTGCATTTCCTGTTCTTCCTGAAAATTAGTAAGGTGACTTAATATGTGTGAGAAATTTTTACATTTTTGTAATTTATCCCATATGAGTAATATAGAAAATTAAGAATTAAGTTTAAAAGTCACTGGCTATGATATAACATTCTTTTTTTTTTTTTTCAGATGGGATCTTGTCCTGCCACCCAGGCTGGAGTGCAGTGGTGGGATCACAGCTCACTGTAGCCTCAAACTCCTGGGCTCAAGCAATCTTCTTGCCTGTTGCTCCCAAGTAGCTGGTATTACAGGCATGAGCCACCAAGTCTGGCTAATTTTAAATTTTTTGTAGTGATGGGGTCTCACAAAAGGCTGCTCTCAAATTCCTGGCATCAAGTGATCCTCTCAGTTCAGCCTCCCAAATCCTAGGCTGCTCTCAAATTCCTGGCCTCAAGTGATCCTCCCACCTGAGCCTCCCAAAGTGCTGGAATTACAGGTATAAGCCATTATGCCCGGCCAGTAATTTGCTTTTAAAATTGTCAGACAATTAAACATTCAAAAATATTTAAAAATATAGAAAAAAGTTATATTACTCATATTTCCAGCTTTTAGGGTTTCTCAACATTTTCCACCTAACTATCCCTAATAGCAGAGGAGACTAAGTATGGACATATGGGGTGTATTAAAAGGCTTGCAGCAAGCAGAATGGCTAAAATCAATGTTAATACTATGTTAAACATGCCAAGAACATTTGCCAGCACCTTAACCTTTGTTTGTTTTTCTACTGTTCCTGTCCTACTTTCATTAGATGTAGGTACCCAAATAGCAGACATTTCCAATTCACAATCATAGTTTTAAAACCTGGTTTCATCTCAGGTTTTATGAATTTGCAATCAATACATGGATAAGGATATGGAAGATTTATAAATTGGATAACAGAAAAATGTCTATGTTTGCCAATCTGCATCTCAGACAATGAACTAAGATAAATATAATTGAGAGAGTACTTCTTTTTGCAAAAGTTATCCCAAAATGGTGATGAAAAAATAAAATGCAAATTTCAACTGAGAAGATTTAAAGTAGATATCATTATGGTTTCTAAGAACATGCATGTATCATTTCATTCTTCCTTCTAGAATTAGAATGCTTTATATTTCTTATTCTAATTAAAGTTATTTTAAAATAATCCATGCTTAGATTCATAACTGGAAATGCCATTTGAATTAAAATAAATGCAAGTGACTACTATTATTCAAAGGGTACTATGCGATTGCACCTCTTAGCCAGCAACACAACTGTTTGCATGTTTTAACCAGATTCCAGACTTGAACAAATGTGGTGAAAATCAACACGAGCTCATCTCTGTGGAAACTGGCAAAGCAACAGATGCTGCTACTGGAAATAGCTGGAACTTTTGAATCCTTAGATAAAAAAAAATTTGTATAAAGAAAAAAAAGATTTATTCTGTGCATTGCATTGCAATATTCACAGATTTAAAAGGGTATATATTACTGTTTAGTGTAATTTATTCCAGTATCAGCATGTCCATTTAAAATGGTAGAAGCAACATAGTCTAACCTCTTTATTTTTGACATTTTCCTTTCCTGACTCTGCCTTTAAACTGAACTAAGTTCATCCTTTTAACTGAATTAAACATTCATTCAAAGAACAGATCTGTGGAAGGTTTTAAAGTGAAAATGACAAACTGAGTTGTTATTTGACAAGTCCTTAATTAAACTTTCAGGA